ATCCACCTGGCTCTGCCTCCCGAGTGCTGGGATTAAAGGCGTGTGCCACCACCGCCTGGCTGCCTTGTGGCTTTTCTTACACAGTAAACAGCGCTGCTTAATGAATAACATTGCGCCGGTGGTGGCGCACGCCTTTAACCCCGGCACTCGGGAGGCAGAGCCAGGTGGATCTCTGTGAGTTCGAGGCCAGCCTGGTCTGTAGAGCGAGATCCAGGACAGGCACCAAAACTACACAGAGAAACCCTGTCTCAAAAAAGAAACAAACAAAAAAGCTAACAGTATCCCCATCTGAAAGTTCATGTCCCAGCTTCACCTGAATATATGACTCTGCATCCTCAAGACTTGCAGAATTAATGGAATGCTGTCCTGTTGAGTTGTGCATTTCTGGGTATATAATCTCTACAGAGGAATACTCTTTCTCTTACTCCTAACTAAAGTGGGAAGATTTGGTTTTCCTTAAGGGAGGAACCCTCCATGTATTTTTTGTGGTTTCAACAGCCAGCAAACAGATGGGAGAAGCTTGATAGTTGGGCAATAGATACCTTGTCTAAAACCTGGCCCATGGCTATGAGGGAACCTTAAATTTTCAGTGCCTTGAAGGTCACTCAATGACTTTCTAGAGAATAACCATTTTTAAATTTTCTACTAATTTAATCTTCCATCTTCTATTTCTAATAGGTCCTGTTAAAAACAAGAAAAAGGGTAAGTTGAGTTCCTGACTTTATTACATTGTCATGTCTGTTTTTAATCAGAAAAAAATGAATGAGATAGGATTTTGCACTAATTTCTTTCATTAGTTAGCCATTGCTCTATACAATCATTTACTTGAGTGTTACACTTTATAAAGAGCAAGAATTAGTTCTTCAGTAACAAGCCATGGAAGATAGAATTGACTCTAGCAACACACGCAAGTTACCTCCTTTGGATAATGATGATGATGACAATGATTTGTCCCTTGTGTCCTCCCCTTTCCCTTTCCATGGGGATCAAACCTAGGACCTTTGCCTTAAGAGTGTTAGGAAAAAACTCTACCACTACACTCTACTCCAAGCCCTCATTTTTTGGTTCTTCCTTCTTGTTCCTTTTTACATGTCTGTTTCCAGTTCATATTTATTTCCATTCTGGCTCTGTCCACTGCCTTCTTTTTCTCCTTCCCCTCTTTTATCAGATCAGTTATCAGACATGAATGAAGGCCTAAGACGGCTTATAGCGAAAAGAAACACTACCTATGGAAAAGTATCAATACTTTGGTTCTGAGCCTAAAAGCTGTCTTTATTCAATTTTCCAGATGATCAAAGATGATACCTTTTGCTTTGAGAATTCAATATCATTTTCTCTGTGATGAAGAAAAAGAAAGAAAAAAGCTATGCCGCTGTGTTACTCTGTTCTTTTTGTGTTTCTAAAGTAGGTGCTAGTTGGAGCGATTCACTGTGCTGTCCTTGGTTTCTTAAGTCCACATTGCACCTAAAATGGGACTAGCCAGGAGCACGTGGAGTGCTTGCTTGCTTGCTTAGAAAAGAGAATCCAAAGAGAAAGCGGGTTATAAGGACTAGGCAAATAAAACCCACTCATTTGCACTAAAAGAACCAACTGTGAAATCAGTTTCTGTACCTGTTTGTTTCTAGGTTCTGACATGAAAGGAAGACAGGGATAATGTAAAACTTGTGAGTTTCCCTTTTTAAAAAAAAAAAATCCTTCTTTTTTTCTCTGTCTATATGATACTGGAAATTTAACCCAGGGCTTTAGATGTGCTAGTCAGATGCTCTGTTGTTGGACTACATCACTAGCCCTCTTTTACTTTCTTTGAGACATCATCTCACTTAGTTGTTCAGGCTGGCCTTGAACTCACTCTGTAGCCCAGGCTGACCTTAAACTTAGTGATCTGCCTGCCTAGGCCTCCCAAGCAGCTTGGATTATGGACCTTAAAATTCTTTACCAAGGCTGCAAAGACAGTTCAGCTGTTAAGAGCACCCATTGCTCTTATAGAGGACTTGGGTGTGGTTCCCAGCATCTACAAGATGGCTCACAACTTTCTGTGATTCCAGTTCCAGGGAATCATTATAATACTTTCCTCTGGCCTCCTCAGGCACCAGGCATGCATGTAGTCTAAATACATACATACATACAAGTGATTTTGTCTGTTTAAATTTATGGAGCTTTCTAGAGCATTCCAAACTGCATAAAAAGGCTAACTCCAGGGGTAGCCTGCCAGTCCTCTGAGCACTAGAGTACTGTGCCACTTCAGGTACTCTTAGCTACATGTCAAATGTGTGATCCTATTGAAAAAAAAAAGGCTGAAATTTGCCCAGCCTTCTGAAGACCTGAACTGAACAAAGTTAGTAAACACCAGCGAGCTGGCTGAGTGCAGAGTCCTTCTGCTGTTTCCCAGGGGGTCACCACTAGGATGCTCTGTGTTTTAAGAAAGTAAATTTGAGTTTCAAGTATTTGGTTCTTAACTCACCACATCTCTTCAAGATAGAAATTATAACTCGGGCTGGAGAGATGGCTCAGCAGTTAACAGCACTGGCTGCTCTTCCAGATGACCTGAGTTCAATTCCCAGCAACCACATGGCTCCTCACAACCATCTGTAATGAGATCTGGTGCCCTCTTCTGGCCTGCAGGGACACATGCAGGCAGAGCACTGTGTACATAATAAATAAGTCTTTTTTAAAAAAAGAAATTATAACTCACATCATTGCTTAGCATTGCATGAAACTTTATTGGGAAGAACATGCACGTAAGCCTTAAATATCTACTTTGTTTAAAAGTGATTTAGAAGCCATCTAATATGGATTTCCTTGGACACAGTGGATAGGCACATACCTGAAGAGGTAAATTGAATTGTTCACTTAATTTTCACCCTTTAATGGAATTTTCCTATTCCCACAGCTCTCTCCCTCTCTCTTCCTATCACACCCCTTCCTTCCATGCCCCTACTCCAGCCTCCCTTTACTCACTTGCTTTCCATTGTTTTTCAACATTTGGGACTTAGCTGAAAGGTTAGGAAAATGCCTCTTTGATGAAGTTTAGCTTTGAAATGATGTGATTATTCTTTTATCTAAGACTACACAGGGTAACTTTCTCAGTACAAACGTCTCTAGGCTTTTGTATCATGAAGTATTCTGTCAAAGCGAGGGAATCTAAAGAAGAAATTCAGTCTCTTGGTCCAGAGGTCATTTTCTGCATACTCTTTTCTGGCCCGAACTTTCTATAGGAATGAGACTATGAGGAACTTCCTTGTCTGAGTGCAGAGAAGCAGAAGGCCAGCTGCAGAAGTGGATTCCAGCAGGGACTTTTTCTCAGATGCCTTCTAACATTTTCATAAGTGATCACTCTCTGTTTACACTGCAGCAGTTATTTTCTTGGACTGGAGGAGGCTCTGGATCTAATTCTTCTAAAATTACATTAAGCAATTACAAGGGACTCACGTTCTTGGAGCTGAAGCTTATGCTACCCACAGAACACCCTCCAGATGGAAACGCTGGAACCCAGGACAGCCTGATATGCATCAATTTCAGTATCTACTCCAAGTAGAAAAGAAAGAGGGTGAAGCACACCTCACTTCCAGGCTGGGGAAGTTTCCCAACTGACAATAGTGCAGTCTTCCTTGTAGAACCTCAGTCTCAAAAAGGGACAGCCCGAAGGCCACGCTCCTTGTTTCCCAGATGGAGAAACTAAGGTTCAAAGTGACTGTGTGGCAGGACTGGGGCTTACATTCTTATCTCCGGAGTCCAGATCCGGGTTCTTTCCACTCCACTAACTAGAATTGAAAGTTGGGTGCCAAATAAGCCTGATTTGGAAGCTACGCAAATCCAAAGGGAGATGGTCTTCCTCCTTAGCATCTTCAAATTGGCAAAGTCTAGAAACTGGGCCGATCCCATCTCAACTGCTAAGCTCAGGGCAAATGCCACACTTTGGTCCTCTAAGTCTTTAAGGCCCAATAGGCCCTCTTGAAGAAATATTCTCAGGACTACTCTTTTCTTCTCTGAAGAAGAGGTCCCACAATGACACACGATTCCATTCCAAATGAGCATGTGGTTAGCCCTGGATGCTTGGCCTCTTTGTTGGCCTTTCCTTGAATACTTGGGGTTTTTTAGACATGAAACATTAGTCTTAAAAGAGGACCTAATAAATCAGGACAGAATTTCCCAGACTAAAATATCTGAGAAATGAGGAGTTGGAACCAGTAAGAAAGGTTTAAAGTAAAGGTGTCCGGTTGTTATTTTGTTGTTGTTTGTTGTTTGGGGGATTTTGTTAGTTTGTCAACTTGACACAAGCTAGAGTTATTTGAGAAGCAGAACCTCAATTGAGAAAAATGCCTCCATCAGATTGCCCATAGGAAACTCTGTGAGGCATTTTCTTGATTAATGATTGGTGTGGGTAGGCCCATCCCATGGTGGGTGGTGCCAACCATGGGCTGCTGGTCCTGGGTTGTATAAGAAAGCAGGCTGAACAAGTCACAGGGAGCAAGCCAGTGAGCAGCGTTGCTCTGTGGCCCCTGCTGCAGTTCCTGCCTCAGGTTCCTGCCTTGAGTTGCTACGTTGGCTTCCCTCAAAGGACTCAAAATACCTTTCCTTCCCAAGTTGCTTTTGGTTATGGTGTTTTAGCATAACAGGAAGAACACTAACTTTATATTTGAAACTAAGCCACTGTCTCGGGGAAGAGCACTATAAAAGATTTCCAATCCTAGGACTTCCGTTGAAATTCTAAGAGGGTAGAAAGACACTTACCCATGACCACCTATGATCTTTTGGTGGGTCTGCTCAAAAAAACAGTCTATAGGAGGAACAGTTGTGATACACTTACCATGACTGCACCCTAGAAGAAAGAAAGAAGGACTAGAATATGAAATGGGAGGACTGAGACTGTTCTGGAAAAACAGTGAGAAGGAAAGGAGGATGAGTTGGTAGACCGGATAAACAACTCATTTGAGAATATAGCCTCTAAAGAAAATCTCTGGGATGGTGGATTAGTTCACCTACAGAGATGGAAGTTGATAGGTAACCTGATGTCTTTGAGTATATGAGGTTTTATGTATATGGTGATAACCACTTTTCCCTAGCTACACAAAGAATAGAATAAAAGTTCAAATGGCCACAGGAGGGATTTCAGTTAAATATACCAAAGACTTTCCTAACAGTGAGCAGTGAGGGGTGATAAACACTGGAACATGTAACCAAGAGAGTTTGCAGAATTTCCTTTCCCAGGGATCTTTAAAAATAGAGTTTAGAGAGGTCAGCTGGAAAGCAGAGCCTGCCACCTCCTCATCAGGTCTCTCCCTGCCTGCCATTCCTTCTTCTCTGTTGTTTCTTGGTATCTTCTGTCTCTCATCCTCTCCACCTTCATCTCCAAACCTCCTTCTCACTCCTGTTCGGCAGCCAGTGCAGCCCCTATCCACCCCCATCCCCTGAACATCTGACCAATCTTCCTGGAGCTGACTGTGTTCCTGGGGTCAGACTTCCATTATCGGCTGGTTAATCACATTGAGTCCACCCACTGGACATGAGATGAAGTCCCACACTTATCAGCGATCGTCAAACTCTAAAAAGAACCATTAAAGGCAGGCCCCTACGTCTGCTTTCCTAATAGTTCTCATCCTTTGGACTCAGATCAAAGCCTCCTCTTTGAAGTTTGCCTGACCTGTTTTAGCATTTGGTCCCTCTCATTAACGTGGCACTTCTAATATCTTATAACCTTTCCCCTGCTGCACTGGGCTCCTTAGGGGCTGTTTATTTCTATGTCCTCAAATCTTCCTTGAAATGTGGGTCAGACAAGGGAGTATAAACATGTCCAGCTCTTTAGCAAAAACTCCTAGATGGCTGACCTTGTGTCATTGGGAGTCTCTAGAACTCCTAACAGTACATTGTTAACAGTAACTAACACCAAATATAACACTGAATCCTGTAATTATAGGAAAGAAAGCAGGGCCCCCTGGGCCCAATGGCCCCCCAGGACCTCCAGGACCTCCAGGACCCCAGGGACCCCCAGGGATTCCAGGAATTCCTGGGATTCCAGGAACAACTGTTATGGGACCACCTGGCCCTCCTGGCCCTCCTGGTCCTCAAGGACCCCCTGGCCTCCAAGGACCTTCTGGTGAGTTCTCCTGTCTCCCACCCCTTAGAAATCTTGTCAGTACTTTTGTTAGCATAGGAGTAGGTAATCTTCAGGGAAGTTTCAAATAGTGATGATGTACAGTAAGAAATCCCTAGTCCAGTGTAAAGCTAGGAACTGAACAAGCTCTGATAGGGCCTGGCCTGCTCTAACTCTTGTTGAGATCAAGCTGGGCCAGACAGGCCATCTGTTCTTGCCCCATGCCAACCCTTCCATCACACTCCATCTTTGGCTCTAGGCCTCCATATAGTGAGCCAATAAACTCATATGAGCCAAAAACAGAGGTGTGAGAAAGAGGTCCCAGCCATTCACTGGAGTTCCTGTAGTTATAGATTTGGCTTATTCTGATTTCCAGCATGGAGTGCCACATGATGTTTGCATGGAAATAGTTTGTAAGGAGGAATGTTGGGGACCGGACAAAATGGCAACCCTATTATAGTTTCTTCCCATGTACTCTGAGACTCCTTTCCCATTGGTGTGGACAAGTAGCCACTTGCTAGTCAAGTGGTTACAAATGTATGAATCACTCAGGCTGTGTCTGTAGCAAACCCAGACACCAAGACCACTGTGTCCCTGAGCCAAGTACTTCTCACACTACATCCTTAAATCCCATGCTCCTCATTCAAATGCCATTCCATCCCTCTGCATCTTTCTCCTGGAGGCCAGCAGGGCATGCAACAGGTACAGCCGCAGATCCAAACCTGCCTAATTAGAGTTGACAGGAGGCAGACTGCCTGAACTTCTGCTGGTTGTTATTTCCTTCTCCTGCTCCCCTCCTGTATCTCGGGTTTTTTAAGACATGGACTCTTGCAGCTGAATTCTCCAGGTCTCAAAATTCAACAGCAAGACTCAGATTCTTCCACTTACAATTCAAATAGGGCTCAGCAGTGTTACCATGGCCACAAGAGATAAAGTTGTTTTTTTTTAATCCAATCATTCCACAAATAATTAATTTCTGTGTACAAAGAGATATATTGCTAAGTGCTCCCTGTTCTCATAGAGTTTATGTCCTAAAGTCAAAGAGACACACGGAAAGAAACAAGATCTTTATAAATGACAGTGGTCCTTGTAAAGTCAGTGACAAAAGAACAAAGGGCTGAAAAAGCGAGTGCCATTGTCGCGGGGACACACAATGACAGGCATAGCATAGCCTCTTGTTGCTCTCCCTGGGTGCACAGTGGGGCTTGCCTTGGGCCAGCATTGGCTGGAGGCCAACTTCCCGGCAGAGGATCTCCGCCTGAAGACGAAGGTCGGGAACAGGAATGGAAAGGAGGGGCTGGGCTCTGCCGTTGACAGGCCCCATGTTAGCGCGTGAGTCCAGCTATAAGCCCTGGAGGAGAGAGTTCCACAGGGCTGGCTGTGGGGGTGCAGGCTCTGAACCCCTGGCTGCTGAAATGAGAAAGGGGAGGAGAAGAGAGCAACAGCACCCTGACTGCCCTGTCCTGTTTTGCAGGTGCTGCTGATAAAACTGGAACTCGAGAAAACCAGGTTGGCTGGGGCTCACTGTCTTCCTGGGGAGGTGGGAGGGCTTCAGGCTTGGGGTCACCTTAGAGTCTGCTCCCTATGAAACTCCCTGAGGCTTTATTTCCTGTTGCCCTGGAGGTTTCGAGGTTTTCACTGGCATCCACTGCCAAGGTCTGAATTGAAAAGCTTTGTCCCAAGGATGTGCCTTTAGCTAAGGGAACACAGTCTTACCTGGACCATTTTACTCATTCCATGAGTGACAGAGGGTCACTACAACCAGATTCAGTAGTCCATGGAAATAACCTGCCTGTCAAGCCTGTACACCTAGGCCTCTGACTTCCAAGCCAGCCCAGATGCCCGATGGGCACTCAGACTGCCTGGACTCTGGAGTGGAGAAGCTTAAGAGTGTGTCCTTGAAAAGCAGCCTACTAGCTCTAGGCCGAGGCCAGCCTGGGCTTCCCCCTTAATGGCCCGGTAGGTTCCCTCCTAGTCTTTGCGCTTCCCAATCTGTCTCTCTTGGCAAGTTCTACTGTCTAGCCTGGCCTCGTCTCCTCCCAGCAACCACCCTCAGTATAGTTATTTGGCCACAATGATAAAGCTACACAGTTGCACAGTCCTTGATGGCTTTGTGGGCAATTTTATATTCACCAGCATAATTAGATCTGCAGCTGCCCTTGCGAGAGTGGCCAGACAGAGATTCTGATAATTCCCATTTTACAGCTGGGGAAATAAAGCTCAGAGGCATCACATTTGGCTGAAGGTCACACAGTTAAGAAGTGGTAGAGCTACAGAGTCCTGCTGTTTTTTTTAGGAGAAATAGAACTACTACTATCTCAAGACAGGGGAAAGGGAGCAGAGCTGGGATACAAAGGAGTCTAGAAACCAGAGGTAAAAACACGGGACTGCATGACATAGCAAGCAGCCGTCATAGTGACTCTCTTCTTCTCATCCTCCCAGCCAGCTGTGGTGCATCTGCAGGGCCAAGGGTCAGCAATTCAAGTCAAGAATGGTAAGAATCAAAGTAGTCTCTCTCCCTACTAGGAGTTTCTCCCATCCTTCATTCCCAACCTCCAAATAACCAGCCAGCCTAGCTCCTCCCAACTCCGTGAGTATCCTTGGCACAGAAGGGCATTTCCTACTCCATTGTGCCCTCTACTGGCTGTCATGAGTAACTGCTTGCACCAAGACCAGTTGCTACACCCAAATCGCCTTTAGTTTTCTTTCTGCAGTGCGAGGGGGCGTGCAAACCCAGGGCCTTGTGAATGCTTGCCAAGCGCACCACCATTAAACTGCACCTCAGGCCCTAAATTGCATTTAGAATCCACTAATGTGGAATCTGAATAGGACTTGGGACATCATAAACCTAGGTTGTCTTGATGGTCATATCAGAGTCACCACAGAATTATGTATTTTCACAGTGCAAACTAAGGAATGTAGAACTATATTAAATAAATCATCTTGTCTGATTGCCCTATACAGAAAATGGGTGGCAAGGGTGTTTCTCTCATAGAAGGGGATATGTTCGGCTCCAGAAGATGTGAGTACTAGTGTCTATCAAAAGTAAAAACGTGTCAGTGGGGCTGAGAAAAGCATATTTCATGTCATACCTCCATTTAGGGGATGGGGAAACAGAGTCACAGAGAGACTAGAACTACCCAAATGAACCATGCTGCCTTATGTTTGCACGGCGCTTTAGAATCCCCCAATGTTCTGTCTTTGTTTCATTTAACCTTCGCAACAACCCTATGAGGTGGGTATTTCAAGTCTCCTTTTGTACAGACACAGAAACTAAAGCTCAGAGAACTTAATTAACTGGCCCACGATTTTGTAGTTAAGTTAGGAGCTGAGATTCAGAACCACATCTTTCCGACTCTTGGCACTGTGCTATGCCACTTCGGTGATGTGTGTGTGTACACTCCACTGAATGATTAGGTTCATTTTCTTCCCCCAAAGAGACATGAGCATTCATTAAAGAACAGAGCTTTGAAATAATGTCCAGTCTCCAGGGTGCCCAAAGCCGAAAATGTATGAACCCCCAGGAGTCTTGGGAAATAACAAGCCAGCCAAGATGCCAGATGCTTACAGAGCTTGGAGTGGAAGGGAGGGGCTGTGATCAGAAACAGTAAATAAAGGCTACCAAACCTGCTACATGGGGCCAGCTCCGAAGAGTGCAGTCAGTCCTGAACTGTCTGTGCCAGGTTCCTCTAAGCAGACTTAGCTACTCCCTTGACTGTCACTTGAAACCCAGCTGTCTCAGTCAGGGTTTCCATTGCTGGGAAGAGACACCATGACCACAGCAACTCTTATAGAGGAACATATTTCGTTGGGGCCGCCTTACAGTTTCAGAGATTTACTCCGCTATCATCACGGTGGGAAGCAGAGCCGAGTGCAGGCAGACATGATGCTGGAGAAGAAGCGGAGAGTTCTACATCTTCATCCACAGGCAGCAGAAGGGGGCTTTGAGCAACATTGAGCATAGCTTGAGCATATGGGACCTCAAAACCTGCCCCCTCCCCCACCAGTGACACACTTTCCCCAACGAAGCACAGCCACTCCAACAAAGCTATACCTCCTATGGGAGTAGAGTGCCACTCTCTATGGGCCAAGCATTCAAACACAAGTCTGTGGGGACATTGCTATTCAAACCACCCCAGCCTAATAGCCTCACAAGTACAAATAGGAGCAGCGGAAGAGAAAAACCCTAGGAGCCCTGCAGAGGATCAAGCACTGTGGGACCCAGGGTTCTGGGTGGGCCATAATCACCATCCATGTGGAAGAACATGGGCAGACAGGAACCAGATTTGTTTGGGTATCTAAATGGTGGCCTTTAATGTTCATTCTATGGCAGAAGCCCCTCTTTTTGCTCCCACTACCATAACAGAGCAGGACCATTTCCAGTCCCTCCGGGCTAAGTCCCAGTGGTAGGTTACGCTGACCACCGGAAGTGAGGGAGGTCACAGTGAGAGGACACTAGACAGAGAAGTCCACTGAAGTACCGGAACCGCAATCTACTGCTAACTCAGACAGCCTCCTTTCTCCTCATCCTTCAGAAAGGTGGACCTTCTGAGACTGGCCAAGGATGGATGTGTAAAACATCATCTTCTTGTGTGAAGAACAAATGGCTGAGAGAGAAAGCCCCTGTGAGCGTAGGTTCCCTCTTCTTATGGTAGGAAGGAACATCTTTCTATCTGCAAGATGGAAAGAGAAATACCCCTCTGTCCTCCCATGCTTGTGTTCGCAGCTGAATTAGGGATATGAAAGAGATGCTTTGCCAAGGGTACCTTGGCAAGGGCGCCTCAGCTCCTAGGCACATTCCCATATCCTCCTGGCTGGTCTACTGTAACCTGGCAGGTTATCCCCAAGTGTTGTGAAACTCTCCCTCACCTATGGGGCCCGCTTACTGGTGGTCACTATCCCCAGCTGCCTTGGAACATGAGTGATCATCCCGACACCGAACAACAACTTTCTAGTTCTCCAGACAGATGGATCGTTTGATTAAGTGGTTTCCTGGGGCCCTTGGGAGGCTTCCCAGAAAGGCGTGGGTGTGGAGGAGCCACAGACAAGAATCTATTAAGAAGGTAAAAACACAGGAACCTCTGAGACAAGAGAGGAATTCGGGTGATATCGCTAGCAAAGTGAAATTGAATACTAAGACCTAGCCTGCCACTCAGTGTCTGGATTTTGCCTGTGCAGTCACCATAACAACAAAGAAAATATGGTTATGTGCCTACTCTCCTCTTCCACCGTCACCAGCTCCGATTCCAGCTAGAAGGTAAAGCACCTTGCTGATGAAGAGGTCAAGAATACAAGGATAAAAACTGATGCACACAGATCTGTAGGTCCTGAGGCGGGCCTAGAAGCCACTTTACAAACAGTACAGCTTTCCTGCTTCCAAATGTTCTTCTGAAAGCTTGGCCCTTGAACATTGTGGTCACCAGGGATAGACAGGGTTGGCAGGGGATGGGGGAGTGGTACTGCTTGGTATTTCTTTCTGTTGCCCTGCTTATTCTGACATGTACTGAGTGACTGCCCTTCTCTCATACTGAGATCTTTCAGGTGGAGTACTCAATGACTGGTCTCGCATCACCATGAACCCCAAGGTGTTTAAGCTACATCCCCGCAGCGGGGAGCTGGAGGTACTGGTGGACGGCACCTACTTCATCTATAGTCAGGTAGAAGTGAGTACGGTCTTAGGCCTAACTCTTCTTATATCCAGGGTGCAGATCTGGTGCAGGCCACCTAGGGGCACTGTGGAGCAAGCCAAGACCATCCAATGGCTAACTTCCTGCTTTGCTGGGGAAAGGGGTGGTGGAGTCCACACTGGGAGGGAGTTGAAGGGAGGAAAGAAAGACCAAGGGAATCTGTTTCATTTTTCTCCCTAGCAAAATATCACTGAAAAACTGTTAAGAGACCCCTCCCACATCCTGCTGTCTGATTCCCTCTTGCAGGGCCCCAGGCCCTTGTTTCCCCTCTGAGTCGTTTGGTTCCCCAGAGGGACCGACCTTGCTCTAAGTTTCTGAGACTATGTCCCAGAGCTGCTGAGAGTCCTCCCCACCACACTGCTAGCTTGGGCATGATAATGAACGGTGCTCCTGCGGACCTTCTCTCTACCTGGAAAAGATTTCTGACTGTCGTTCCTTCCTCTTTCTCCCATTTGTTTCTGTCTGTTTCTGTTGTTCTCGCCTCCTCCTGGTGTCATTCTCCCAGACCTTTCTCCCCTCCACTTTTGTCCTTTTCCTGCCCTGGGCCCACTCCCCACAGGTCTGCCAGTGGCCATCCATCTCCTCCCTCCTTGTGTGCCTCCTCCATCGGGGCTCTCCGCAGAGCTAGAAGGAGATAAGCCTTGAGGTCATGGTTTCTGGGAGGCAGGCAGCAAACAGGCAGATGAACAGAAGGACTGAGGGGCCAACAAATGGCTCTCAAGAGGAAATGACCAGAGAAGTTGGGTTAACAAACACCTGCCTGGCACACACAGTGTCCTGGCGTAGCTTGGTCCTGACCCAAGAGATTATGTGGCACTTAAATACGGTGTTTCCAATCAAAGAGCCTATGGGGTCACTTTGATGAAGTGATTCAAGGTGTCAGATGAAGGAAGGTCCCCACTCCTAGGGGGCATGTGGGCATAACCCCAATATCCTGTGAACTAAATTCCATTTAGCAGTGGTGCAAAATCAAAGTTCAGGGTGGGATATGCCGACAAAAGGTAATGAAGGATGAAACTTAAATTTCTGGACCCAGGACAGGATTAGGAGTGGCCCATATGAGCTAAGAAAGTCTCCATGAGACCAGGTCAGAGGTTCATACTTCCTTCCTTAGCCCGAGAATGGAGTTGGGAGACTAGGATTTGCATCCATTATCTCATTTGTATGGGCTAGCTCTCCATCTCAGGACCTGCTTCCTCAGTCAACAGGGCAGAGGGCCAAGGTGTGCTGAGTGAAGCGAGGAGAGTAGGTTGCGAGCCCGGGAAGGTTCTGTTCACAAGCTAGAGAAACGGGAAGTCATCATTGTGACCTCCCGCAGGCATCAGCGATTCCTAAGTGTGTTCCTACATAGTCTTTAGTATGGGAACTGGAAGGCAGTGTATCTGGAGCATTGATGAATCGCCTATAGTGTGCAAAGCACTGCTTCATGCCAGGGCGAGGGAGTGGGGCCAGTGAAATGGAAAATAAGTCACAGTTCTGTCTGTAAGGAAGGTTTGCTCAGCCCCCTGAACCCATGGAGAAGGGGAAGGACAGTGATCTCTCACCCTGCTGTGCCTGTTGACCAACAGGCACACTTTTGGGGTAGCACCGCCCCCTGTACAGGGTATACTGGCAGCTCATCTGAGGAGGTTTTAGCTGCTCACCAGGGGAGGGCCCCACCCTCTTTTTCCTCTCTCCCCCAATCCCGTCTCGTTGCCTCTCACCCAGGTGTACTACATCAACTTCACGGACTTTGCCAGCTACGAGGTGGTGGTGGATGAGAAGCCCTTCCTGCAGTGTACCCGCAGCATTGAGACCGGGAAGACCAACTACAACACCTGCTACACTGCAGGCGTGTGCCTCCTCAAGGCCAGGCAGAAAATCGCCGTGAAGATGGTGCACGCCGACATCTCCATCAATATGAGCAAGCACACCACCTTCTTCGGGGCCATCAGGCTGGGCGAAGCCCCTGCATCCTAGATCCTCCCATTCCATCCTGGCCCATGCCCTGGCCCCAGGTCTGGGAGCCAGGACTCCCAGACCTTTCCGTGCTGCTGTGGAGTGAGGTATATTGGCATTGCAGCCACAGAGAGAAATGCCCCAGTACTATTTATTCCCCAGTGACTCCAGGATGACAAGGCCTACGTGACTGCCCCGAATGGCCTTGGGTTGCCAGCACGGTTGATGAAGCCCCGGGGTTTTCGAGAAGCAGAACCCTCTTAGGCGACCTGCTGACTGGCGTATGGTGACTCCTCAACCCCTAGGTCCCTCTTCAGATTTACCATTTGTTGCACTAAACCGAGGATCCAAGACCGTAGGCCACAAAAAGCAAAGATGCACTCCAGATTCTAGGGGTGATCATCTGACTCCAAGGGGGCTCTGCTTCTCTCTGGGCTGGGGGTGGCACTAGGTTACAACTTAAGGAGAGGGTCAAGTCAGAAGAAGGCAAGTGCTTGTGGCAGAGACCCAGGCAATAACCTGCCAAGCAAGCATCCTTGGCTCTAGAGGAGGCGTTCTTGCTGTATTGCACTATGCCCTACAAGAGGCTCAAAAATCTCCTCCTACTCAGGCTAAGAGGTACACTGTGGCAGCCTGCTCGACTCCAGAGCTGGGAACTTTGCTCTGCCTTGGAATCATTGCGGGCATGGCCACAACCCTGCCTACGTAAGAACCCGAATCTATACTTGGGCCATGCATGTCTCACCTTGTTTACAGCCAGGCTCCACTCTCCGAAAACTACCTGGAGTCTTCCCACCTGTCACCCTCCCCAGACTGACTAGAAAGCTTTCTGTCTTCTTCCTCCACAGTGCCTACCTCTGTCTGAGACAGGTGCCTCATGTGGGACTCGTGCTCACATGAGTCTGGTGTATTCTTTAAATTACCTGGGCACAAAGAATTTTCCATTGATTCAGAAATACACTTATCATCCATCTAATTCTAAGAAAATTGTGTCTGGGAACAGATGGTAAAACTGGATAGCCTCCAAAAGCCCCTTGGAGTTTGGATATCAGTGGCTCTCAACAGTCACCTGCCACAGTAGACTTCAGAGTTCCCAAACCCCGGACTCTCTTAAACATTAGCAAAGCAGGGCTTTTCTGCCTTACCTAGAAAGGGAGAGAAGTAGGAATTGAAAACAGGGAGTTTTGTCCGTGTTTGCTGCAACCCAAGTGATCATTCGGTCAACCCACATGATCGTTAAGTCAACTCAAGTGATCATTAGGTCAGGTCTTATCGGAAAGAACAGCAGCTGATGCCCACTCACACAGTCTTTCTTTAGAAACAGATTACTGTCACCGTAGAGGTCTGAACTTCTCTCCGAGAGCCAGACTCAGGGCAAACCAACTGTCTGGCTATTGGGCAGGGCTCTGACCCCTCGTTCAGATCCAAAGGCACCTCCACCAATTTTCCTGCATGGTCATATGGTAGGATTATTCACCAACTTTCTTTCCAATTGCCTGGCTTCAGGGCGCCAGGTGCAGCCCAAAGCAGGGAGGCTCAACCTTGAACAGCCTGCTCCTCTTGCTCCTGAAATGTATTTCCTTTTGAAGAGATGGAGAATACATCCCTGAAATTCATCAAGAACAACAGGTTTCCCAGCTGCACCTCCATTTCCAAGTAGCCATATTGCTTGGTCCTTCAAGGGTCAGGGAAAGAGGTAATAGGCCAAGCCTCCTTTGCCTAATGCTAATGGCAGCCTTATACCAGAACTGAGGTAAACTTTAGACATGCATCTGATCCGGAAGGCCTTGAACAATCAAGCAGCAGTGCTAGCAGGAACCAACAGCCCCTCTCCTCAGTATTGGAAACTTACTTCCTCTTTTTGCTGTTTCCTTTGAAGAAGGCAGGGTAGAGAATATCACAGTTACATCGCATGGGGAAGGCTGGAGAGGGAAGTGTTTTGACTAAGATCTCACCCAGCCTAAATCACAGACCTGAGCCTTTAGTGAGGTCTGACTCCGAAGCTAGTCCCTTACCACAGCACTGTGGAAAGTATGGAGTCCAGGAGGAACAAAGAAAGGTGGTCGTATGGAACTGACATCATTGGGGAGTCCTAGGGAGAAACCTAGCAATGCCCAGTGTTTATTACTGAATAGTGCTGCCCATTCCCTTGGCTTCCAGGGGCTCTGTGGAAGAAGACTTGGGCATTTTCCTGGGAAACAGCCCCAGTGATCAACCCTAAGAGTTCTTGACTTGAGAAGAATCTTCCATTCGGGCTCTGGGTCCCACAGCACAGGTAGCCTTCAGGACCTTTCACCCATCTGATAAAAGCAGCAGCCATCACATGAGGAACTGCCGTGTGAGGCAAGGACTTCCATTCCTAACCCTAGACACAAATTCTGGGAGCCAGTCTGCTTCCTGTAGTTAAGTGTGACCCCGTCTCTCCTTCTGCCGTATTACAAAGACCTTGATGTTGCCGGAGTCTGTCAAGAATGGGGGGGAAACCCGAGAGGAGCATTCTAGAGCCAGATGGCTGTGAGGAAATGAGTTTCCTAAGTGTGCCCCTGCAAGACATGCCAACCCCATCGCACTGTGCATGGAGATCATAGGAGAATTCGGCTCCTCACTACCTTTTATTCGTTCTAAACCCTCACAAGGAGCCCTGGAGGAAGAGGGCTGGGGGAAGGAAATAGTCGAGTGGGAAGGCCTGTCATGCTGTGGTCATTGGCAAGGTGGTGAAGCATTGACTGATAGCATAGGGATATAGATTTACAGTTTGGAATTGTTATGATGGGAAGTTACCCCAAGGTTAGCGTAGAGAATGGGACATGTTTGGGTAAGCAGATGACAGGTTTGAAGGAAAACTGCATGGCAGGAGCCCCTCCCAGCTGCTTGAGCTTCAGAAGCCAAGCTGGTACAAAATGCAGCTGCTGGATGTTGTTTGGCTACTGGTTCCCTGGAAGAGGTAGCATTTGCCTTAGCTGCCCCTCTTAGATGCCCCTCATCCCGAGCCAAATCTCTGTAACTTAGGAAGCAAGAGCTAAGGACCTAGAGGTCAGCAAGGACTTTGATCCTCATGTGAGTGCTTGCGTTCTATGCATCTTCTAGTAGATGCAAACAGATGTGGAGAAATTTTGACCCAGAAGGGCTCTTCTTAGAGGGAATGCAGCCCAAGCTACATCCCATCCTGTTACTCATGTGAATCTGATGCTCAGACAGGGAAAGTGGCCTGCCTAGGACAGTGAGCATGGCCCTCTCCCCAGACTCAGCAGTGGAAAGAACAGAGCAGCCTGTCCCATGGAACCTCCTCATTCACACACCCACAGACTCTAGGCTAGAAGTGCTTATCTCCCTCAGGAGCCTGGCCAGGCAGCAAATGCAGCTGCAGTCTTCATCAGAACTCGCCTCCTCACACATACTCCCCCAAGGGGTTTGTGCAGCTCCTGCCTCTGGGCAGTTTTGAGGCCTCCTAGTGTTGCCTGAGGTCCCACCCTTACCTGGGGTCTCCCTAGACCATGTGCACTACAGAACCTGGTTTGTTTTCTTAATCCATTTCAGGGCTCTTTCCAGGAGGGGCTGAGGTGGGTTTCTTTATTCAAAAAGCTTCCGGCTGAGATGGGGGTGAGGGGATTTGTTGTGAGAATGGCCTGGAGCAGGCCAATGCTGCTTTGGGGGGTCAGCATCCTGTGTGAGATACTGTGTATATAAACTATATATAATGTATATAAACAGGGATGTAAGTTTGTGTAAATTAACGGTTTATTCTTTGCAAATAAAGTGCTCCCCTCCCCATTCATGAATCAGCTTGAGCTCTTCCTACATGTCACATGCTTCTTCATGAATGATGCCACTACACATGAGCTCCGGGAAGGATCAAGAACCCCATTTTGGTGAGAGCACCAGAAGGAAACTAGTCTAAAATTCTTATCAGTACATCTCATGTGGTCTCTTTGCACCAAACGACATACCTCCAGTCCGTTCACCTTAGCCTGATGTCTTGCCAGAAGGCATATTGTCACAGGACAAGAACACACAGCATGGGGCCACCTTCAATCTGAGAATGTGGCATCTACACCATTTCAAGCCTTGCCCAAAACAGCTTAGAGAGATCTGACCTTCAGCTCCTCATTAATATACAAATTGGCTCATTTTGCAGACAAAAAAACCAGTGCTCAAGGATGTCAAGTAGCTCCCCCAAGACCACTCAGCTAGTGTCTCAGCCTGGCTTCTTCCCCGGGATGCTTTCCACTCTGCCACGCCGCCGCCTCAGCTGCCTGGCCCCATGCTCTTTGCTGGAGAAACCCTTGGAAGCTAGTTTAAGGAAGGCGGTCACAAGGACAGGTAGATAGCCAGCACACGGTCTCTCGGAAGAGTTCCTGGGACTTTTCCCAGCCCCGGCAGCCTTTGTCCTGTTGCAGAGGGCCTGTGCACCAAATTGTGTAATATGTGATGGCAGTGGCACTGGGCAAAAAGTGGGAGAGACTTGCCACCCAGAAACTCAGAAAGCAGGCTCGTCATGGCTACTGGCAGCCAGGCATATTCCGTTTGATAATCAAATAACCAGCAGAGTTAATAGGGCCGGGGTAGGGTAGGCTAGTTTCTTGGGTGGACATGGGGAAATCAGATCTAAACCATTGACCACTCCTGTATAGTTTTATAGGGTGGGAAGTAGGTATGGACCAGAGTCACCAAGGAACCTCAAATGACTTCAACTTTCAAAATACCAGCCTGCACTTTCTTTTAGAAATTGAGACATTGTTTGCTTAGGGACAGGAAATGGGTTAGATGGCTGGAAGAGAATAATTTTGTGTAGCTTTTTTTTTTTGTCCAGTTTACCAAGTTTAGTAACATGCAATAGCATTTAAACTTGCCAGCAGCCTTGGAGGTAAGCAGGGGAAGGATTATTAGTCCCATTTTACAGTTGAAGAAACAGGATGATGATAAGAGGTAATGGATTGCCCCTAAAAATCATGGGTCTTGAATGTGCTGCTGTCTGAACCCAATGTCCCCTGGCTCTCCAGGTCCCCAGTCCTGTAAGAAGAGTCTTGAAGTCAGAAGAATGACAGACATACAAGGTCCTAGAGCCCTCCAAACAGACCAGCTAGAGCACACCATACCAGAGATGGGCTGTTTATTCTATCCCAGGTTTCAGTGAACCTCTGCCTAGGGTCTTCTCTGTCTCGGGGGAAAAGGGAAAACCTAGGAGAAAGAGATGGAAGTGGAAACGGTGGTCACAGAAACCAACCAAATGGACACACCCCTCTCCCTCCAGGGAGGACTGCTCCAGTCAGAAGTGAAGTTCCATAGGTAACATTGCCGTTGTCAACAGATCCATACCAGCCAGCCAGGGGAATGTGTTTCAAAGTATCACCAGCTCCTGGGTCTCTGAGATGCCAAACTTGGTCTTATGTTGATCAAACAATTTGCGTAGGGCATCAATATAGAGTGTGTGGTATTTGGCCACAATCTCCTGGCTCGGATTCTCAATCTTGGGCATTGGTAGAGGTTCCCCGACTGCCAAGAGGAATGGAAAAGGGAAAAAGAAAAGCATCAGGACAGCTCACTCCACACACAGGACAGCCCCCATGCTGGAGCTCAGCTTCTCTCCACCCCTGACCCTCTGCCCACCGCTCACCCTAGCCAGCCTCCTTGCCTCCAACCCCTCCCTGTCGGGGTTCTGAGGCTAGCCACAGAAGTGAATCCTAGAACTCAAACCAAGGCTTCCAATAGAAGGGCCCACTCACCAACAGTAGTTACTGGCTGGGAATAGGGCAGAAGGCCCCAGGAGTTCTTGGTAAAGCCACGCCCATAGAAAGCACAGGGGTAGACGTGTACCATCTTCTGGAACCACTTCTGGAAGCGATTGATAAAGCCCCCGGGAGTGAAAATATACTGGTCATAGAGGTCCGTCTCTCCAAAGACATAAGCAGGGATGAGAGACACCCTGCAGAAGAAAAGCATGTCCTTGAATACCCAGAAACATAGGGACCCTGCTGAAGAAGACGTGCTGAACACCAGTGTCCTCTGGGTCTGCCTACAGGCTCCCTAGACCTCAAATCCAGCTGTACAAAGGTCCCAGCTGACTATGACGGCCCATGGCCTAGGCCAGGCTGCCTTTAGGGTTGAACTAGCAGCTTCTGAAAGCCTAGTGATTCCTTGGAATGCCCACATCTGAATCACTGTCAGATACTGCCCAAAGGCCATTTCATTTGGTTTCTTCTGCTTCGCCTGCAATGGTAAGAAGTTTGGGGGGTTTTTCTGCTCTGAGGTGCAGCCGTAGTCCTTTTGCAGAGAGAGTGGCGTGAATGAGAGGCTAGGCTAGTGCAAGGCCTGGACAACACCCTGTCCGGCTCCAGTCTGACCCATAGGGGGTTTTCTTTCCCTTTGTCCTTTCCTTTATTCTAAGTGACAAAATGGAATATAATTTGTATATAGAAGGTCGGGGTGCTGCCTCAGTTGGTAAAGTGCTTTCCAGTTCCATGCAGGAATGAGGACCCGAGTTCAATGCCCAGAACCCATACTCCAAAACCAAAACCAAAAAGTCAGATGTGGTGGCATGTCTGTAATCCACGTGCTAGGGAAATGGAGATGGGTGGATCTTTAAGGCTACTCTACTAGGTAAATTCCAGGCCAGTGACAGATCCTGTCTAAAAAAAAAAAAAAAAAAAAAAAAGGTGGACTGAGCCTGAGGAACAATACACAAATTGACCTCTGTCCTCCACATGCAGGAACTCATGGTCTAGCATGTACATGCACTCGCATGTGCCTACACACACACACACACACACACACACACACACACACACACACACACACACCATGTGTATATTTTTATGATGGCTCTATTTATTAACAATTGTTTACATGCTTCTTCCTTTCTCTTCTTAAATACTGCAAAGCCTGGTATTCTTCCATGCTAGGCTTTTGGACATCGTTCCCACCCCATCCCACCCCCATGTCCCCGCAGCTATCCTTACCCATGTCGAAGGGCCGTGCGCACAAAGCCATACCGCTTCTTCAAGACCAGGGTTGTAGAGCCTGGTAAGCTGTGTTTGCACTCAGCCAGGCCACCAACCACCACGACAAGCATGTTGCCTGTGCCCTTGCGGGTAAGCAGAAAGTCCATGGAGGCTTGGCTCACAGAGCACGCCCCTGGTGGGCAGAAAAAGCGAACAGGTGCTTGGTTACTTCCCAACCTCCATAAACTATTCCTCTGCTTTCCTCTTTAAGAAGCAGGAAAGCAAGGAGCATCCTCTCCAGCCCGTGATTCTGGGGAGCTGTTTAGCACCTGAAAAGATCCCGGATTTGACGTTGCTCTTACACATCCCCTGGTTCTCCTTAGGGTAGCCCTCTCTATGTGGCTGTATGCCCTAGGAGCCACTCACCTGTAGACATTACATAGTCTCTGAGGAAAGGCACCCAGAAAAAGGCTCCCAGCGTGAGCATATAAGGAGTGATACCAGGAAAGGTCTTGGTGAAACCTGATGTTTCAGTGGCGAAGTGGCCAAAGCATGAATGGGACATGAGCCCATGAGGATGGCAGGCAAGGATGTAGTTGTGGCTGGGGGAAATATCGTGTGTCTTCAAGATCTGCAGAGGAAAGTGGAAACAGGGGAGATAAAGGCCGAGAAAGAAACTCCTCTTTTGGTCAGAGAACTGCAAGGAAAAGGATTGTGGGTTCCAGTCATGCAGGCTGAGCAATGTACATCTCCGGGGGTCATCGCTTTCCCAGGCCCCGTGTGGTTGTACCCTGTACCCCAATCCTGACCCAGATGCTGGCCCGGACTCACCTTGATTGGGAAGTAATCGCAGTAGTGTTTCCACAGACGCCACCTCCTCACACAGGTGAACCGGCGGCCACCTGAAAGCACAGACAAGCTCTGTGCACCCTCACTCTCCTTTTCTGGGCCCCTGGGGGGACACCACGGGGGTCCTGTCACCTTTGCTTGCCCTCTTAGATGGCAACTGGAACCGGCCCATCAAGAACAACTTAGTTTGGGCCCAGCTTCTGCCTCACTACCCACACCCACCCCTCTCTTCCTCTTACCAACTCCAGTTCCAAAATGGGTCTTTCCAAGACCCTAAACGGACCCCTTCCTTCAGCTTTCCTAGCCCAGGGAGGGATAGGCTGACAGACTGCCTGGGAATTGGCCAGAGCCTCCCAGGATTACGAGAGTAGCAGGAGAAACATACGACAATGCATCCCAATAGGCCCTTACCTCGCTCAGGGGTCTTCCAGTCAAAAGCCAGCCAGATGAGCATCAACACAGTGGCAAGCCAGTACGATGTGAACACCACCAAGTAGAGGTTGACAAGGATCACAGTGGTTACTAGAGAGAAGCCAGCCCCAGGTCAGTGAATTGGGAAGAGTCCCTCAGATCCACACTACCTCCGCTGAGTTCCGTGCAAGTCACACACGCTCTGAACAAGGCCCACTCAAGAGTCAACCCCCACACTTACAGCTGGCCCACATGTCCAGGTACCCCTTGGCCTTCCAAACCTGATTTGGGTCTAGAAGACAGATGTGTTCCTCATAACTGTGCTCCAAACAACCAGGCTTCCCACCCCCTACCCCCCACCCCGAACCTGCCCCAGCACTTTGCTGGGCTCTGTACATAGTGTGGGTAAAGACAGGGAGCCAATGATGGCCACTGGGTATTTGAACTCTTAGAACAGTTTTTGCTGACTTATATTTTCTTCTCAACAGCTTCCCTGTAAGGCAGTGGTTCTCAACCTGTGTGTAGTGGCCCCCCTTGGGGGTCAAATATCAGATGTCCCACATATCAGATATTTACATTACAATTCCTAACAGTAGCAAAATTACAGTTATGAAGTAGCAATGAGAATAATTTTATGGTTGGCTTCACCACACCATGAGGAACTGTATTAAAGGGTCTCAGCATCAGGAAGGTTGAGAACCACTGCTGTGAGGCGTCAGTGGAGGCGATGCTGGAGAAAGCTCACACCTATCTTCACACAAAAGAAGGAAGAAGCGGGGGAGCTGGACTAGAATAAGACAAAGGACTGTGCTCAGCTGAAGTAAGATGGGAAAGAATGACTACAGAGTCCCGGGGTGCCGCATTCACTTGAAATTCCTGCTGGAAATGTGAGCAGCTGGGAGTAAAATTCTGTGGGAAATGGGTCAAAAGAGAGGTTAGAAAAGGCAAAAGACATAATAATATAAAAAAAACTTCTAATTGAACGTAATAGATTGAACACATTTTGTTTTCACTTCTTATTGGAGTTCAAGAAAATGATTTAAATATTTAGGAATACAGGTCCACAAAGAGAAGAAGAATCAGAAATGTGCCGCCAGCAGATGAGAGGGAGCAGGAAAACGTTTGCTCCTAAAGTGGATGAAGGGAGAAGTAACAGGCAGCTGCAGGTGGATCTCTAAGCACCTGCAGTGGAGACGCCTCCAGGAAAGACTCCGAATTGGGAGCCTCAGGCGTCCCAAGAGGCCAGGATGAAGCACAGGCCCAAACTGCAGAAGCCTGCGTGAGTTCCTGACGAGAAATTCATTAGAACACTAAGTGTTTTCTCCTCTACGCAAATGCTTAATGGAAGGATTATTCTCTGAAAAACTGAACCAAAAAGATTCTGGATTCACAGAGCCTACATGGGTCTGCACTACGTCCTCTGCATATATGTTATGGTTGTGTAGCTTCGTATTCTGGTGGGACTCTAACAGTAGGAGTGGGGGTGTCTCTGACTCCTTTGCCTGCTTTTGGAACCCTTTTCTTCCTACTGGATTGCCTCATCCTGCCTTAATATGATGGTACATGCCTAGTCTTATTGTAACTTGTTATGCCATGCTCAGTTGATATCCCTGGGGGGCCTGCCCTTTTCTGAAGGGAACTGAAGAAGTAGATTTGAGGGAGAGGGCAGGTTGGGGGAGGGACTGGGAAGAGTGGAGGGAGGAGAAACTGATGTCAGGATGTATTGTATGAGAAAAGAATAAAAAATTATTCTGGACTCAGATACAGATGATCTTCAACTTGTAACAGTTTAACTTACAATGTTTTGTACTTTGTGGTGATAGAAATGCAACAGGAATCCAGCAGAAACTGAATTTTGCCCTTTTCCTGCCCTACAATATGTGGTGTCATTCTCTTGTATGGTGAATAGCAGCGACAAGCCAGATCTTCCAGTCAGCCACACTACCATAAGGATCCCCAACCAATACGGGCAGTGTGCTGTTACTCAACTATGGTGTTGGACACAAGAAGTGTATCAAATGTATTCTGGTTGGCTGGTTGGTTGGTTGGTTGGTTGGTTGGTTGGTTGGTTGGTTGGTTGGCTGGTTGGTTGGAGACAGTCTCACAATACAGTATGACAGCCCAGGCTGGCCTCAACTTCCAGCAGTCTCCTGCTTCAGCTTCTGAAGTGTTAAGATTATAGTTATAAGACGCCTTGCCTGGCTAATGCATTCATGATTCACAGTATTTACAACTTACTGTAATTTGGAGAACTTCTGGACTTACACGAGCTCCAGATGAGAGGACAATTTCAGATACACAGTCTCAAGTAATACTACTGGATGACATGCTATACCCAAAGAGGGAGAAGACATAGATTCCATGCTGGGAAAAGGTCCAACGAAAGAGGAGACTGAGCATGAGCAGGGCTGAAAATAAATAAGCAAGTCTCCTAGGGTACAAATTGAAAGGGACGCCCACTCTTAGCCACACTCACCTTCAGCCTAACATTTGAATATCTCAAGAGTGAGTATCTTAAATTTTGCCTATGTTGCCTTAAGCACTCTGGTAATAACAGCTGTGCATAAGGCCAGACTGGAAGAGGGAAATGTTAGGTTCCAGCAATGTTGTCCTCAAGGAAAGAAAACATGAGAAATATTAAAGATTCCCAATGTGTTTGCACATATTGAAAGATTACCATGTGTGTGCAATGCTTGTGGATAAATTAGTAATAACTAAAAGATATCTAGTAAATGAACATTTTAGGGAGCTGGAGAGGTGGCTCAGCAATTAAAAGTACGTGTTGCTCTTGCAGAGGACCTGGACTTGATTTCCAGTACTCACATCATGCCTCACAACCATCTGTAACCCCAGTTCCAGAGGATCCAACAGGCAAGCACAAGCTGTACATACATGCATACAAGCAAAACATTCATACTATACAGTAAAAATAAATAAATCTTTAAAATTGTTCATTAAGAATGAAAATGAGTCTATTATTAGTTCCAAGAAAAAAAACAAGCCACACAAGAAAATACAATATTGGTACACTTATTTCCTAATTGTAGTCAGACATTTAACCAAAACTGTCCTATAAGAATTTTGGAAGGGGCCTGGTGCTGGGGAGGAAGAGGCAGGCACATTTCTGAGTTCTAGGCCAACCTCGTCTACATAGTGAGTTTCTGGATAGCCAGGGCTATGTAGAGACCCTGTCTCGAAGAAGGAGAAAGAGCAGGCGGAGGAGGAGGTGAGGTAATAACAGCATTGGAAGGAAGAGGTAAATATATTCAAGCAATATCATATAGAGCTCAATTCTCATTTCCTGTGTTGGAAAGTCAACAGAGAATGCCCAAAATTGTTACATCATACAACAACAGTGCTCAGAAATTCCAAATAGTAAAATCGAGAAGTATTTTTAAGAAACACACTTCAAAATGCCCCTGGGGTACAGAGCTATGGGTTGTGCCGAGGCTGGCAGTTGTAGCCTCTGGACCTGAGACTCATAAAACTTTTTGGATAACTAAAGAGAGGTGTGGGTCTAGTCCAAAGAGCACTTCATTTCTCTTAGGGTTTGCTCAAACCCAAGCACAGCTAAAGACATCTTGTGAGCGTGGCTGGGGTGCAGCCTAGGATGGAATGAATCCTGGATCTCCCACTCTCATTGCTGAACCTTAGCTCCTCATCCACAAACCATTGCTGTCTTCCCTCTCCTCCTCAGAGTTCTTACGGAAGTCTTCTCTCAAGGTCTTCGGGGTCCAAATGGATGTGGTGCCCCACCAAGGGAAAGGAACTGGGAGGGCTGAGAAGGGACACACACACACACACACACACACACACACACACACACACACACACACACACACACACACCAGTCCCATTGATGAAGAAGGGCCAGCTTTGGTGTCCACATCTCCTGTCACCAGGACCAAGAGCTCTTGCCACACTACCTGTCTTTCCAGTACAGAACCAAATTTGAAGTACAGGTCCCCGGGGACAGCTTTCTCCATGTGCTCACCTCACCCCTGTTTCACCCATTCTTGGCCCGTTTCTGTACCACCTGCCCTTCTGCCAGCCCATGCTGGCACCTGCGGTCTTGATCTTGCTTTCTCTTTTTCTCACCGGTGTTTTTTGTTGTTGTTGTTGTTGTTGTTGTTTTTAATCCTCACATCAAACTAATTCTTCTCCAATTCCTTGACTGTCTCACAGCCTTGCTTCTGTCCAACCCCATCACTACCAGCCTGGTTCAAATTCCCGCCCTCTCTCAACAGCCTGCCCAAACTGCTATCACCATGTACCTCCCTGTCTCCTTGTCATCAGTGTACTCCAAAGAGCTGAAATAGACTTTCAAAACCACAAACCTAATGTCATCACCCTGTGCCAAAACCTGTCCTGCCCCCACACGACCTTGCAGAAAAAAGCCAAACTCCTTTAAACAGTTTCCGGCATTCTCTATAATCCTCCCCCATCTGTTACTCCAATTCCTCCTCCCTCTGTCCTTCATTCGTTCAGTAAAAGTATATTAAGTAGCAATTCTGAGCTCACTCCCATGTCAATGCACCACTGCCAGCTCTTTGAATACTCCAACTTCTCACTCATCCTGGTCTTTCCACGTGGTGCCTATTTACTGTCCCCAAGGTTCATCCCTTCTTCACTGGTTTCTTAATTTACCCTACAGCAGTCAACTCAAGCTGGGTGTGGTGGCACACAACTTTAAACGCAGCACTTGAGAGGCAGAAGCAGGCAGTAAGTTTGAGGTCAGCCTGGTCTACATAGTGAATTGTAGGCAAACCAGGGCTACCTAGTGGGATCCTGTTTCAAAAAAACAACAACAACTAATTGCTGATGAACATACAAAAAGATTCTCAACCTCATTTGTAATTAAGGAAGTTCAAAATAAGACTGTGACTTATTTATCACTTCAATCCACAGTAGCTAGAACTGCATATGGGTTCTCCATTCGCTTCCCTTCCTATGCAGTGGTGATCCCTGAAGCTACATTTTCCAGTTACAATTGGCGGGTGCCTGTACCAACCTCAACAATGGAGTCCACAGGGAGCTGAGACTCCTACCACCTGTTTGGCAAACAAGAAATGGTCATTTGTGCACTTAAGCCACTAGGTTCCACCTAGAGTGTCCGGATGAATATACCCTAAGTACACCCATTTTATGAAGAAAGAGGATAAGCAACTTGCTAAACAGTTGTACAGATCATAAAGAGTAGAGCTAGAATCTGAACAGTTAGACTTCAGGAACTGTTTTCAACACCTATATTATATGCATATCTCATAGCTATATGTATATATGTGTGTATGTGTGTGTGCATTCATACATGTATGCATTATATACACATTCATAAGCTCCACCATCTGTGGCTACACACACACACACACACACACACACACACACACACACACACACACACCACAGCTATGTCTAAGGCATGAGATTGGAGTGAGGACGGGGAGAAGGCATCCTGAAGGTGAAAGCTTCCTAGCCCTTCCCTGAACAGTCAGTCACTCTTCCCTACTTCAAACTCAGCTCTTTGACCTTGGGCACTTGGCTGTCTTGTGGGAACACAGTTGCAAGGATGGAAAGGTGGAAAGATAGCAACAAGCCAAACTGGCGGGAGAAGAACTTGAAAGACAACACACTTCCTTCCCTGAACTTGAAAGACAACACACTTCCTTTCCTATGCTATGGCAACCCCTGAAGCTACGTTTTCTGGTATACAATTGGTGGTGCCTGTGCCAACCCGAACAAAAGTCCACAGTAAGCTGAGACTCCTACCCACCTGTTTGGTGCACTTGGTGTGAACAAGAACATAGTCTCACTAGTCTGCCAGTCTAGTGTGCACACCAAGCTCCACACCCAACCTCCCAATCAGCAGTGAGCAGATGCAAAAGGCAAAGAAATTCTTGGACAAAATGTTAGCCTTTGTGAGCTCACAGCTCCTCCACTGCCTAGCTTGTGGTCTTGAACAAACGACTTTTGCTATATGAAATTCTCCTCTTCGTGTTCACAATGCAGATTATTAGTCTCATACGGTGACTAGCCTACTGTTTGGCATTTAAAAAGAGGCCAGTGTCTTTTAGATAACACTGTGTGAATAATATTTAGCATTACATGTATAGCTATCAGTATGACTTTTTAACAAGATAGTAGCTTATACTTCGTAAGGCTAGTATAAAATGAAATAATACATATGAAATACATGGGCCAAAATAATATTTAAGAATTCCTTTATCTGGTTGCTTCCAGTTCTGATTGCTCTCATCAGTCATTTAGTATTAGATGGCTCTGGTACCTACTCTTGGCCCCCCTACTCTGTGTCTCTAGTCCGATGATTGGTTGAGGTAAGAAATGCCCACTATCCTATTCATTGGCACACCAATGTACCAGGGTCGTGTTCCCGGAGCCTGCCTATAGTCTTCATGGCAAGGTCATTTAATTCATAGGAACTACTGTTCGAGCAAGAATTTTCTTTGCCCCCTCCTGTAGTGATGGTTTGTTCCAGTATGTAGAACACCATGACCAACATGTCATTTTCATGAAGGGCCGATGGTATAGATGCTGAAAAATGGTGGAAACGTAGTTGGCTTCCTCTCGGCAACAGGTTTCTAAAGACTCTCTGCCACCTCTTTCATCACAGTTTGCTGGATTTCCTGCGTTACAGCTACGTCCTTCTCTTGGGCTGACTTCAATGAACTTGTTTGCCATGATTCTGTAACATGGCCATGGCCTCTACACCTCAGTGTAGACCCGGTGGTGCTCACTAGACAAACATAAAGCAAGGCACTCACGCGAGCACACACACACACACACACACACACACACACACACACACACAGCCCTGAAGACACATGCATGTCCGTGCCCATGACCATGTGGTCACAAATACCCAGCCCAGGGGGTGAGGCCACAGGCCAGGGTAAACAGCGTTCTACTTTGCCTAGAACAACACAAATTTTGAACAGTGAGCATCCTACTACCCTAGAACCTTCAGTACAAGGCAAGCCCATGTAGTTAGATGCCCCTAAGTAGCTTGAAGACTCACCTATAACCAAGACACTGAGGGCCCACTGGAAAAGAGCGAAGACCTCCAGGGCAGTCTTGATGTTCTTCTTAGTGGGCCAGAACATTATGTCCAGAATCTCAGTAGCTCCGGGTAAACGCTGTTCGGCTCTCCAACCCTGACTGCTCTAGGGCTTGCCATGTTTCCTCTCTCGAGCTTTCTTTTCCAGCTGTAGTATAGTCTCCGCCCCTTGCCCCACCTTCCCACAGGACTGCAGGGCCTCCCACCGCCTCTGCTTGTCCATTTCCTTCCAGCTGCCTACCTGCCTGCACTCTTACCCACTTGAGTTCAGCCTGGGTTAAGATTGTGACACCCCCACTGTACACCTGGAGAGTGGCTGAAGCCCTGATGTGGGAAGTGAGTGGGTGGGATGGGGCTGGTGAGAGGCTGCCAAGCCCAAATCTGAAAATGGGAGCGGTGTGGGCAGGACAAAATCCTGGACTCACATGGGACAGACTCGGGGCCTACATCTCTGTAGGCCCACATCTCTGTAGGCCCAACTGTTGATAATCTTGGTAAGAACATAGCTGGAGGGCTGATGAGGTCACAAGCCAGGCCTAGAAACACCTTTGGCCTTCAGATCATCACAATGAAGTGAAGCCATTACACGTCGAACTGTGAGCAGACAGTGGGTGCCGAGCAAATTCCCTATTGAATGAGTAGACAACTGGTAGTGCATACTGTGTTGTTCTGTGCTGGGAAGTTTTCGAATAGACAAAACTTGTCTACCATGAAAAATCAGTAGTTGTTGCATCTGCTAAGGATTAACTGAGAAGTAATTTGATGGAATGGGGGGGGCATTAACGTTCTCATTATCTTGATATGATTTTGAGTTGCAAATATCAAAAGCAGATGTCAAAATACAGTGAATGGGGGGCTGGGGAGATGACTCAATGGTTAAGAGCACTTGTTGTTCTTTTTTTTTTTTGAGACAGGGTTTCTCTGTGTAGCTTTGCGCCTTTCCTGGAACTCACTTGGGAGCCCAGGCTGGCCTCGAACTCACAGAGATC